AATTATTGTATCTCAAAGTGGGGTGTTGATAATTTTTTTAACCCCTTGTAACTTTTACCCCTTTGAGGTACAAACGAAACAAAAGGCGGTACAAACGGGTACAAACCGAGCTTAATCGAATGTATATATGAAAAAAATTTTTTATTGAAGTCGGGTGCCAGGTTCACATAGGTGGCTGTGTTGTGATTCGAGCGGTCCGTTCTCTACCATTCAGCACATGCTTTTCCTTAATCTTTCGTAATTAATTCCTCGGTTATTATTACGAACATCACAAAACGGTATAGAACTTTTATATTTATTTTAACCCGCTCTACGTTCTCACGAGAGCTCTATAGATTGTTCTGAAACACCCTGTATACATATACAGGGTGTCTGACTCGTACCGTATCAGAGCTAATATATAGCTAGAGTAGATCGGGGTAATAGAATCGGTGTCTTTTTGTAAACAACCACGTAAAATTTTGAGATATTAACGATAAAAGATTTCTACCGAACGGCAGCCCACTGGCCAATCAGCACATGTGCATAAAAAAATATGAAAAAAACTTCAATATTTGTACATTGAATATATATATATATTCAACATATATAATATATATACATATATATATATATATTTTTTTTTTTTCATATATAAAAATTTCGTGAAATTACCAGTTTCAGCGATTTTTGATGTTTCATAAAAAAAATCATAATTTTTTTAATTTTTAATATTTTAAGCTGAAAATTTTATTACCAAACGGAGAAAAAAAAATCAGGGTCCACTGGACTCTGTGTGACATCGAAGGTTAAAACGGTATAATAAAACTCAATTTCATCAAGTATTTTTCGAGTTACGGATTGATAAATTTGAAATACAACCAACATTAGTATTACCCAAGATAAAGTACGCAGAAGTTGCTTACAAGAAAAGAACATGGCTGACCTCCTACCGATTTTGATCTGATTGCGTACAATGGAAGTACATCGAAAATGAGCGGATACGTGTACGAGCTTTTATTCGAATATGCCTTGCTAATAGTATTATTTAATATTTGAAAATATTATTAGGTATTCTATTAGGTAGGTTGAAAATATTTTTAGGTATTCTATATAATGCATCCTATAAGTTGAAACAAAATAATCATTTTTAACAGCAGCACGTAATACAGCGAGTAGAGCGCCTCTCTAATAATATGGCATTCCTGCGTTCGATAATTAAAATAACACAGACCTGCATGGTTTTGTTGATTGGAATCTGACAATGTTTTTTTATGTAAATTTTGCGCTGAATCTGAATCTGGCCGCAGAGTTGCTCTATCACGTTAGAATTTCGAAATATCCTAACCTAAAACTCGTTTTCCAAAAAGTCGTTTTCCACCATATTTTAAATTAAATTAAAAATTGAGAATTTTTTTTTATCAAATCCGTCAACAAATTATTAGTTATTACTATATGGCCCCTTCATCTTCACTAGCCGGGTAGTCACTCACCTTGCCTTAGAGACTAGCCCGGGAAAAAACGATTATATATAATTATATAAATATATTTAATTATATATGATTATACATGAATTTTATCCATATATGTGACCTTATATATGATCATATCTAATTATATAGTACATATATAAAACGAAAATTGTTAAATGAAAAAAGGAAAACATAATTTGATTCGATTAAACGTCGACATCATGGGCTACCATAAACATAAGCATTTACTTCAATTGTATCTTCACAATAGTATTCTTTTCAATGTTGACATATATAATTATATATGATTATATATAACCATATATGGACAAAATTCATACATAAACTTTTTTTCCCGGGAGGCTCCTACGAGGTACAATTTATCAAATTTTGAATTGGTATATCTCTGGAAAAAAAAATTGTTTCGAAATGGTTCAAAATAGATTTTGAAGAGGCCGTATAGTAATAAATAATACCGTTGACGGATTTGACAAAAAGAAAATTTTCTTAATTTTCTTAATTTTTTATTTAGTTTAAAATATGGTTAAAAACAGTTTTTTTTTGTAGTTTTAAATTAGGATATCTCGAAATCTTAACGTGATATAGCAATTCTGCAGACGAATTCGGACTCAATGCAAAAAAATTACGTACAAAACGTAGAAAACATTGTCAGATCCCAATCAATTTTCAACACTTCCAATTTTGCAGGCCTGCGTAATGGATCTATTTTATACTAAAATTAAAAT